TCTCGCGACTGTCTCTTCTGTTTTTCTAGCGGCTCCGCCCTCGTGGATCCCTCCTCAGGGGTCCTGCCTCCTCATCCAACGACCGCACACCACTTAGACCGTGCGTCATCTCTACATGCTTGCTTGCTCACGCTATCGGTCCGTAACAGGCGACAAACTCACAGAGTACTGTACTTAGCACGGCTTCAACCAAATCAGCTGCAACAACTCAATCCGCGTCACCGAACGTGCCGATCGCCCCCGCCGGACCCGCGAAAGAGCAACACTGTGATGCCAACAGAGATTTCCCTCGTTGTGAACCCGATAAGGCTATTCGACTACAAGCCACCTGCCATCTAGTTCAGAATGGCCTCGTGCTCACCTCTCATACAGTTGCACCTTGGCCCGAGCTTTGACTTTGGTACCGAGCTCCCATGGAGCCATTATGTCATTGCCCAGTGCTCTGCACCCTGGAGAGCCTCCTCAACGATTGTTGTACTGTGAGTGAGTAGGTAGGATCTTTCCGAAGCCTTTCAGGATGGTTGTTGTAGCATTGGGCCTCCCAGTAGCTCGCGTTGCCACCATTACAGAAATTTCACGGGCGCTCCGAGGTCTACTGTCCTTAAATGACCCAAGTGCAATTAGAACCCAACCATCATAATACAAAAACGTCACTAGCCTCAAGGTCTATCCTCACAAAACCGAAGCCTCATCCTATACAAACGTTACGACTTAAACCCGCATTTCTTCCTGCGATAGTACCTTCTCAAACATCACTCTTACTGGCAAATTTCACCTTTACACATCCGCACATCCACACAAATCACAATGCCTCACTCAACACAATCACAAGCCGCCACCAAGACCTTTACGCTAAACAACGGCGTTGAGGTCCCCGCGGTCGGCTTCGGCACCTTTGCCAGTGAGGGCGCCGTGGGCGAGACATACAAAGCTGTCACGGCCGCCCTCGAGGCCGGCTACCGGCACTTTGACTGCGCCTGGTTCTACAAGAATGAGAGCGAGGTTGGCGACGCCATCCACGACTACCTCAAGGCCAACAAGGACACAGTCAGGCGCGCGGATCTCTTTATCTGCACAAAGGTCTGGAACCACCTGCACGAGCCTGAGCAGGTTCAGTGGTCCCTCGAGTCCTCTCTGCGCAACTTCCGCCTCGACTACCTCGACCTCTTCCTCGTCCACTGGCCCATCGCCGCCGAGGCAGACCCGGAGACTCATGAGCCCAAGCTTGGCCCCGACGGAAAATACATCATTAACAAAGAGCTCACCGAGAACCCAGAGCCGACATGGCGCAAGATGGAAGAGATCTATGAGAGCGGCAAGGCCCGCGCCATTGGTGTCTCCAACTTCACCGTCCCAGGTCTCAAGCAGCTCCTGAGCCTCGCCCGTGTGCCGCCCGCGGTGAACCAGATCGAGATCCACCCGTTCCTGCCCAACGGCGAACTCGTCGACTTCTGTCTCTCGCAGGGCATCATCCCCGCGGCCTACTCCCCGCTCGGCTCGCAGGACCAGGTTCCGACCACGGGCGAGAAGGTCCGCACGGACCCGACCCTCAACGCGGTTGCCGAACGTAGCGGCAACACGCTCGCCCAGGTCCTTCTCGCCTGGGGCCTGCGCCGTGGATACATGGTCCTACCCAAGTCTTCGACCCCCTCGCGCATCGAGAGCAACTTCCAGGTCCCCGAGCTTTCTGATGAGGACTTCCAAGCCGTCCAGGCCGTCGCCAAGGGCCGCCACACTCGCTTCGTCAACATGAAGGATACCTTTGGCTACGATGTCTGGGCGGACGAGAGTTCATAGATGGTCAGAAGCTGGTCTCCAGAAGATGGATACATCACGAAAATTGGGATGGCGTTAATGGTCGGCCTGACTTTCCTTGCAACGGCGATTTGCCGAGTTCCCGAGATACCATGAAATTTAGATGCAATTAGAAATATGAACGAGTATTCACAACCCAAATTTACGCTTGTTGTTTGCAATGTTCAGTCTTTGAATTCCCTCAGTCAGAATAGGCTCCTAGGTCTGTATTGCTTTAAACGCGTGCAGTTTTCACGTCCTGACACAACACCGACCTTCATGGCACTCTTTTCTTCTCGATCAAATCGGAAGATTATTGCCTAGACCGCATGCTATGCCGGGAGATGAAAGCAAAAGTCGCAGCGGACTTTGCCGGGACTGTCTCTAAAAATGTGGTGGTGTGGTTTGACCAAATGACAAGCAATCACTCTTGAGATATGACATGCGGACCACTCGATCGACAAATTTGTGGCAAAATACTTGCGATAAGCCAGCTGGGTCATGATTCAGGCGTTGTCGTCATGGTGGGCCGCATTGCAGAAACATAACCGACCGCCCGCAAGGGCACAGGAAGGTTCTGTCCATCACGACCTAAGGTTGCGCTGTCAAGTTGATGCCACGAACGGAGTACAATCCGATTTTAATAGTGCACTGCAGATCGGCTGCTGTCTAAACGAATCAAATATTATTGTTGAAAATGAACTAAACACAACAGGGTATGCGCCTACCATCAAGCTAACGTCAACATACTTCCGACTTATCAATATTGACCATCTCTCATTTAGTCAGTTTGCCCTCTGTCCCGGTCGGCTGCGGCGGAGGCGGCCTCGTGCCCTTGACATGTTTGATCTCGCCGGCTTTGAGTGGCGCCGCTGCAGCGCCCGACAGAAGGCCCTGGATTGTCTCGAGCGCAGTCATCTGTTCGCCGAGCCCTGTCTCCCCGTCGAACACCCCAGTGTACCACCTGTGTCCGCAGGCGTGCCCACTGTTTCCGCCCGAGCAAGCCTTCGCCGCCGCCATGGCGCTTGGGTTGAGCAGCGCCTCGACAGCAGGCCGCGCCGAGGGCATCATCCGCGCCGTCATCCACAGGAACCGCGCGTTGAAGCCCTTGAAGCTCCGCATGTCTTGGTTGCACACGCCCGCGCCCTCGCACGCGGGCTCCCACATGACGCCCGGTGCGACGTTTTGCGGGCCGCCAAAGTAGATCTTGGCGGCCTCGAGCAGACCCTTTGTCCGGTCCGCCCAAGGGCCCTGGCCACCAGTGACGTCGTTCATAACCGCCGCGCCATACGTGTAGATGCCCTGCGTGTAGGTGAAGCGGACCTGGTTCGTGTCGGTGCACTGCTTGTCCGCGCCCGCGCCGTCGTACACGTTGAAGTCCTTGTCGACGAACCCAATCTGTGCAGACCAGTCGTAGACCTTGGCCGCCCAGTCGGCGTACGTCTGGTTTCCCGTGGCCCGGGCCAGGCGCGCCGACATCTGGAAGAACCCGCCGTTGCTAACCGAGTTCTTGTAGTTCATGCCGTTCGGATTGCTGGGGAAGATCTGCCAGTTGAGCCCGCCGCCGCAGCTTGTCGTGTCCCAGCGCGCGACCATCGTGTTCCAGATGTTCTCGGCAATGGTAAGCCAGGGTGGGATCCGGTCGTCGGGCTGCGGGAAGTTGCGCTCAGCAGCATCGAGGATCGCAAACGACCACATGGCTTGGTCGTCGTTACCCTCGCTGCCAAAGTGCAGTGGCACCATGAAGTCGTGCTTGGGTCCGACCTGGGAGAGCAGAGACTGCGTGATGGTCTCGTCGTAGGACGAGTCGCCTGTGTAGTGCGAGTAGTCGAGCATAGCGGCCCAAGCGGCTCCGGCTTGCCACCAGTCTGAAGTAGGGGAAGTCGTCAGTTTCTCTCGAATTATTCAAAAGGTTAGTGGCCACACAGGGGTAAAACTTACAGTGAGGAGCAGGGAATACTGCGATAGTCTGTAGGTGACTTGTGAGCCAATGTTTTTCGGCGGTTGTGGAGCAAGTGCTTAGCTTACCTCTGGTGTCATGGTAACATTTCCGGAGTAGTATGACATTGTATCACGGGCAATGGTGCTCGCAACGCCACGGATGGATGCTTGAATGGAAGTTAGCGAGGTGCCGGGTTAGTTCAGACGAAGTGGTTGCAACTGACCGGCATCGTTGAGCACAAGAGCACTTGGAGCCAGGAACAGGCCAGCGCTCAGGCTCGCAGGGTTTATCGACTTGATCAAAGGCATGATTGGTGGTAGTGAAGCGCGTCACCAGAGTCTAATGCGAAGTAAGGATTGTGCAACAGGCCTGTGTTGCAAGAATGATGTGAAAAGAAGCCTCGTCGAGAGCCTTTGAAAACACGAAAGATTGATAAAGCAGGGCCGATATTTCGGAGAAGGGCGCTGGTCGAGAGCTCGTGTCTGTAACGAAAGAGAAAAGGCGAGATCTAGGGACTGCCAAAGCGATGGACCAAGGGAAAACAAGATGTCGCGTGTGGACGAGGTCTAGAAAAGACGGAATAGGAAAGAAGGGGACGGTGGGACAGTGAATGCAGGATGATGGCAAGCGGACGAACGACGACCAAGACAGCAGCGGACAGGCGAGCTTTAAGGCATGACAAGAGGGCGCACGACCCCAAGCACAGCACCATTCTGGTTGGCTGCCAAAGGTTTGCATTGAATTGCAACGCCGGGGCAGATGCCTGCACCGCATCCCCGGACCTGTCAAGCAAAGCGTGCCCCTGACGATCACCAGTCAGTCTGGAGCCAGAAACAGCGTGTTTCATGTTTCGCCCAGGCCCGGCGCCTACTAAGCACCACGGTGGGGGCGCTGCCGCTCTGGTCGTCTGGGTCGATTGGCTACAATAGGCCACCGACTGGCTGACTTTTAAAGTTGGTCGGAGTCTGGACGTCCGGGATTCAGGCGCAAGGAGAATTGGCCTCGCGGCCCCTACTGGTCAGCCGCGCGCTTAGCCACCCCCGCCTCGGCCAAAATAGAACACGGCACACTGCCAAAGACTGTACTGCCGCACAATGGCTTTTCCAGTTCCAAGCACACGACGGACGCGCGAGCAACCTTTCACAAGCAGGTCACAACCACCACGCCGCAACGCAATGCCAACATGTCCAATAAAATCAAGAATCAAGATATCAAAAATGCAAAAAGAAACATGGTATAACAGAGGCATTGAGCCTCCATGCGCTGGACTTGCAGGGAATCGAACCCTGGACCACTCCCAAATTGTCTGAACAATGCTAAGGGAGTATTATACCACTAAACCACAAGCCCGGGGCGTGTTGTGATGATTCTAACACAAGTTGTTGAAATTCTGCGCCACTATTGTAGAATATGTCGCCAATCTTTTTGACTGGTCAGTAGAGAAGGGACTGCCCGTAGACTTGTCCTTGGCTGGTTCCATGTACCGACAATTGATTCACCCACAGTTGAAACCCTGTGTTTTTCCCCTCCCACTCATTCTCTTTGGTATCCGTACGCAGCAAACCGCTTCGACCAGGTGGCTGGGTAATTTGGTAGGGTATGTGGACATTAACTGGAGAGGGGGCAAATTGTGTACCATGGGATATCATGCAAGAAGATGATGTATAGTTCTGCTTGCTTTGAGTACAGCATTCTACTCGATAGCATTTCCACCAGACTGCAATCTCAGGTTTGATCGCGTATACACTGCTTTATTTTTATTTTTCATCTTGCTCACTGGTTTCCGGTCTTCAAAAATTACAGCCACAATCCAGAACACCGAAAATGTAACAGAGATACCGATGGAACGAAATGAAATACAACTCTGGAATAAAACTGGTATCATCTGACCACATGTCCAACAGCCGCACAACATCGAAATTTCAGAAACCAATGGGAATGTTGTTCGGCGCAAGACACAACAACAAACACACTCATGATATAATAATTCCACCTCCATCATATCCGCCCCGCCCGCTACTCATCCTCCACTGCGCGAGCATCCTCCCCTCAGGCATCGTAACAAATGCGCATCGTACATGGGAAAGGGACATACGCTCCGCGGTCCTCGCGGAGGTACACGACAGTGCCGGTCCCTGCGGAACGGCCGCTACCGCTGGGGCCCTTTTGTAGGACCTTCTTGAGCTCACCTTGCGGTCCCGGAGCACGGCGGACGTTCTTGAGCCGGAAAACGGCGCGGAACATCTCGGTTACGCTGACCTGGACGAGAGATCGGTCCGCGAAGCTGCTGCCGAGTGCGGCGATGTGCATGTACGACTCAACCGGCCGCCTAGGGTTCACGGCAGCCGGATCAGGGAAGTTGGCTGCGTCTTTGGCAGCAGAAGCCTATTTTGCAAGGTAAGGGATTTTGGTCAGCTGTTGATAACGGTATGTTTGAAGAGATGGGTAGATATTCATCAAGATGCTGGGCGTCTCGAAAGAAAGGAAATAGAGCGATGGGGTCCGGAAGCTCGAACCACGAGAAAATAATGCTCTCAAGGCAACTTACCAGGTTTGCAAAGACACGTTCCCCAGCATTGATGCGAAGCAGAGTACCGTCGTCTTCGGTGATTTTATCTGACGACAAGGCGGTGCGGGCAACGATGAAGCCGCCGCTGAGCCGGACGCCCTCGAGGACGTAGCCAAGGAGCAGGGCGTCCGTTTCTGGGCTGGAAGCCGAGCCCGCGATTCGCTGCAGCTCAAAGATGTGCTTAGTACCCTCGGGCGTCAAGTAAAAGTCGAGCGCCTGGGCAAACATTTCTGCGATGGTCGGCACAGTCGTGGCCATGGCTGGCAATAGCTGACTCCACGCCACGTCGCGCGCGCTAGAGCTCGATCCAGAGTCACGGGAAAGTGTCTTGAGCAGGTCGGCACCGAGCGAGGCGACGCTGCCGACCTTGGGCTTGGAGCTGAACAGGCTGCCACCGGACTTCTTGACACTGGCCTCCAGTACGGTGCCGAGCTGGTGCGCAACGGCCCTGGCGGCCTGTCTGCGAGGGAACGCTTTGACTGGGTCGTGATCATGGCTGAGGCTCATGGAGATGGTGGCCAGGACCATGTACAGCTCCTCGGGAGTGTAGATGCCCTTCGGTTTGTCCTTGGACTGCAAGGGTAGGCTCAGCAGCTCGGCCATAAAGAGAGTGGGGGCAAGGTTGCCAATGTCGCGCACGGCATCAACAAACTTTGCACCCGCCAGGTCAAAACTGTTCTCTCTGAGAAGTGTGTCCATGATCTGCGAGTAGAGCTCTTTGACTGCGGGTGTCCACTCGGATTTGTAAAGCTGGCTAGGCTTCGCCTGCTTGACCTGCACGGGGGACTCTTTGCCGGTGCCAAAGCTCGCGAGCAGGGTCGATAGTGCCTCCGGCAGGCTCTCGGTGTACTTGTCCGGATTGCTTACGACGTGTTTGGCGCCGGCGTGGCTTTCGACGTTGACTGAAGGTGGGTGGTGCTGTGGACGGTCGAAGCTGAAGTCGTTGACTCTACCGAGATTGGTAAGGATTTTCTTGGTCTCACTCGGAACTATGTGATATTCTGTCAGCATACTGATCCTGTATTTCAGGTCTCGACCAGAAGAAAGACAACTTACTGCACATGGGGTAATGAGCATAAGCAGAGTCTTCTTTGAAATGGTTGGGGAACGCCCTGATGAAGAGCTTGTAGAAGACACAGCCCTGGTTCAGGTTCAGATCGTACGAGGCCTCATTAAAACCCCAATTGGTGAGGAATTTGGGGCTATAGTCTGTAGTGTAGAAACGATCGCCACGGGTCAAGCAGACGGCATCGGACAGAATGACACGAGAGATCGTGTAGGTAGGCTACAGGATTAAACAATTGTCAGCTCTAGGTGACGCATATGATGCTCAGAGTAGGGTATGAAAAAGAGAGGGATACTTACAGCAATACCGACACCCGGGACCATGGGCTCTTTGGCTTCTTCTGCGACTAGACCGGGATACAGCTCAACAAGGTCGGGGTGTTCGTACAAGTGGCGCAGAGAATCGGCAATCTCGGGGTCGGAGTTGATCTCCTCGAAAGTCTCGAACGGCTTGAGGCCAAATTGTTTGCGGAACTCGTTGAGACCAGCGACATTCCAGCGGCGGCCCTGCAAGATGCCTAGAATCTCAACCGGCTTCATCGCCTCAGGCACATTTCGACCGCCAAAGGCACCGGCGACGTCCTCAACAGCGTCAGAGATGCAGTCAACGAGGTCGTCGTCGGCGAATGAGCCGGCCTCAGTGCGCTTGAAGCCGCCAAAAACGCGCTCGGCAGGCTCATCGGGGATCGACCTTTCAAACTTCATGAAGCCCATCATCATGTCCTTTTCGGTGACGGTGAGGGGGTCCTTGTCGAATATCTCGCGGTAGAAGTCCTGAACCCACTTGTCGTCCTTGGCCGAGATACACGAGTGCCAGCGGTAGCAGAGGTTGAACTCGGCCGACACGGCGCTGCCAGTCCCAGCTTCGACAACCTTCTTGGTACCCTGGTTGTGGCCCATCTCCTGGCGCGGGTCCAGCGTCCACGTGGTGTTGCTCCGATTGAGGTTCACAATGTTGCGCACATAATCAACAAGGGTGATGTTGATGTACAGACCAGTAGTGACCAGCCGCGCCGTCTGGAAGAGATCGTTGTCATACTTCTTCCACGCAGCCACCGCCTTGTCTCCGGGCAAGCTAGCTGGTGGCGGTGTGAAGCGACCATTTTCGTTGATCAGAGCCAAGTTCTTAGCGGTGTAGTTGTGGAAGCGGTTGAACATGATGAGGATCACACCACAGGCGGGCGGCATTCCCAGTAGACGCTTGTCGGCAAAAGTATCGGGCTTCATCATGCCATCCTTGAATGTCCGCACAGAATCCTGCATCGCCTGATTGCTGCCGTAGAGGGGCGACAGATCTAGGTAGGAGGTGGTCTTGTTAAGGGAAATATCCCGATAGTCTGTCCAGAACAAGTCGTGGGTAATTATCGTCGCCCAGTACCAAAGCACCGCAGACACATTGTTCGGATGGCTCTTGGGGCTTCTTCGCTTCATGACGGCCTCGAAGATGAGACCAGGATCAGGTAATGCGCCTGGGTGGACCAAGCTGGGTCTGCAGCTTCTCGAGTATGGTGTTCCAGAAGCACCCTGGAGAGGATCTTTAGGGTTGTTCCACGAGCCATCCGCCTGCCTGTATTGGAACTTGTCTCCGAGGTAGAGCAGAGGCGGGTGCTCTAGAGTGCTCCAAAGCTCGCCGATGAGGTTGTTGGTCAAAGTTTCGCGAAGCTTGGACTGGTGAGGCAAGACGGCCACGAGCTGTATGACCTGCTCCATTAGCATGGTCTTGTCGTCATTCAGCTCTCCCTTAAGCTTGCTCTTAACAAGCTTGACAATGGTTTTGACATCTGTGAAGGTTTTGGTTTAGCACATTTTCTCGCCACCAGTACTGCAAAAATGGAAACCTCCCTCACCTTTCGTCTTCAGTTTCTTCAGGTCCTGCTTCAAGCCCGGCCTGCTCCTGAACAAGGTCATGGTGCCGTCGCCATGCTGCGAAGGATGCGGGCCGCGTGTGACGTTCATGAAGTGGCCATGCTTCGCAAATGCCTCCTTGACGCCGGCTCTGGTGGCGGGAGGTGGTGACACAGGCGAGTCCTTGAGAGCAGGTGGCGGAGAGCAAGTCGATTTAGTCACGCTGGAGGAACTGCTGGCACCAGAATGGCTGCCATTAATCCCACTCGTTCCCTTCTCGTTGCCCATGGTCGCTGGAGGTATGTATGAGTATTCAACCTCAATCGTTTGTTTTCGGGCAATCACGAAAGGCGTACAGGTGCAGACAAGCAATGACCGAAAAAGATGGAGAGAGTCGCAAGCACGTTGGTCCACGATTTTAAGTGTAATAATTTAAGCTGCTGCACCTGTTTACCTAGTGTAGAGTCACATGGCGCACAAGCTTGCACCAAGAATGCATACAGATCAACAGGGGGACCACGGCACACTGAAGTAGCGTCGCAGGTTTTCTCTGGCATCTACCATGTGTGACCGCCAACCACTGGAATCAGAACACGTCTCACACGGCTCAGCGACCGAATGATCGCACGGCTTATCTTGATGTTCTGCCGGTGCCAAGTTGGCATAGTCGGAAGCTGGCGATGGGCGGCACTATTCCTATATTGGCAAATGCAAGCGTGCGGCTGTGCTCGTTACTTTCGGGCGCACAGAGAAACCCACTTATTGGCATGTGCTTTTTTTTTTTGTTGCTCGGCAAAGGCAGGGAGGTTCATGAGACTGACTGATGATCGACTGGCAGCTGAACTTGCAGCGCTGTCAGGGATATTTTGCC